AAAAGAATACCGATTTCCTTTGTAAGGGTATCAAGTCCGTCCACACAACGCTCCTTCCCACTCGCATAGTGAACACTGGCCAACATTCATGAAACGACGCACCAACAAAAAAAAAATTTCTTCCGGTCTCAACGACGCACCGGATGCTCGTTGTCCATCTGCTGCTGACGCCTTACACGCTCCACTTGTTACTCCATGTCTCCCACTCTCCCACTTGAAAAACTCTTTGCCCAGCCTGCTCCTCTCCACCGCCGCCCACTCGCCCTTGACCGCCTTGGCGTCAGACCCATCTCTCCCATGAAAGCTCTCCGCGGCCCTCTCAGACACTCCAACCAGTAAGAGTCTACCGAAACTTGAACGGGAATGACGTCTGATATAGCGATGGCGGAATATGGGAAAAGTAACAATGACGGTTGTTTTGAATGCGATTGAAAACACGGTTAATAAACACGATTATTCATCGACAACTAGAAAATAAATTAGAGAAAAAAAAGTAAAATAACATTTAAAGGTTAAAAATAAAAAGAAATTAGGTTTCCTGCTGTGTGTTGGCCTCTTTGGATCAGTGTGGTGCTATGCGCGTATGCAGCACATTCGTACGTAAATTCAGAACAGAAGACGAAATTTGCGCTTGAGCTTTATTAATGTAACTTGTCTTTCATAGATTCGAAAGAATATATTATATTACCTGCCTGTATCTGTTTCCACAGCGTTAGTGTGTGAATATTCGTCCTTTGAAGGAAGATGTCAATGGGATTTTATAATGACCGCGAGCATTAGCACTGTCGATGTTTCGCAAAATATGTCGTGTATGTAAATATTTTTGTTGTGTGTTTAGTTTTACATTAAACTCTCACTTGGGTGTTATTAAATATTATAAACATATACAACACGGTCAGGGAGGTCATGATAAGTCATCACTTAGGCACAGGCAACATGGCACGTTTAGGGTAAATTTCAATTAACTACCCACCCCAAGTGAGTACCGATACCGGCCTTTTTTCAAGGTATCGGGTACTCATGACAGCTGCCGAAACCAGTCACTGATACTTGGCGACAAAAAAAAAAAAAAAAAAAAATCTGACATGAAGTCCTCCTCACCAGTAGTTGGCACTACACTTGCAGTTTGACATCATATGAATCATCATGTGTTTCTGCACCATTTTCTGTCAATCGTGTCAATTTAAAGTTTCTGTTTTACTGAGTGAATGTTTGTACCACATAATAAGGATCAGAGAAGCGATTCAAACCTGCAACCCCCCCCCCCCACCCTCCCATATTCCAGCGTGCTATTCTAACTCTTCAAAAATAGTGTAACTCACAAGAAAGCCCCTCTTTCAGTCGACCCCGAACAAGCTTGATGCAAACATCGGCTTTTGTAGCGAAAGCAGCTGTCGTTGGAATTAACGCAAGTGCCTGTCTTGAGGGCATCTCAACACATGACCTCTCCTTGCCCCCTCCGCTTACAAACACACACAGACTCCTTAGGCGCAAACTGTGCTCCGGCCCTGACACGTGGCATAAAAAGAATGTTTGTGAACTCGTCGGCTCCGTTTTGATCTGCCTTGCATCTCTTGATGTGGGGCCTTGCAGCGCTCGGACCCAGCAGCCGTTGCACCTGCTTCTTCCTCGCTAATCGTTAACCCGAGCAGCACCGTGTGCCGGCGCTGAATGAGTTGTTTTGTGACTCACCACTCTCCATAGTATTAGCCCCCCACCCCCCCTCCTCCTCATCCTCCCGGGGTCACCCCATTTGCTCCCTCGGGGCGGTACCTGATACCTGGGCTGATTTTTATCCATCCTGGCTGTGCGATGGCGTTCAATGTGTGTGCTTTGAAAGGTGCGTTTTTCTTGATGTCTCTCAGTCAAACAGTAGCTTCCTGCCTGCAGGGCCCGTGCGCTGTTTAATTGGCGAGCTGCAACACTGGGCACCTGTGTTTCTATAACACCCCCCCCCCCCCCCCCCCCCCCCCCCCCCCGCCCCTTCTTCCTGAAACTCCTTCTGTCCTTCTTGACTGGCACGTTTGTTCGAAAGGTGGAGGAGATGAGATGAGATGAGAGCGCCTCTTGAAATTAGAGGACCAGGGTGTCGGTTCAGGTGTTTTTCCGTGCGTGGTCTTCAGATCCTCTTTGGCTGGATTCACACTGCAGGTCGATTTCAGTTTCATGCCTGTTGTTATTCAGTTTTGTTTTGCTCATGGGCCACACTTGATTTTGAAAATGGAGATGGACTTTTAATAAATGTAACTATATTTTTGCAACCGATTTCTCAATCAAATGAATGGGTTAGTTCAGGTGCCAAATTGTATTGTAAGGGCAATGTAGTTTGGTTGTTTCAACGATACAAAGTGGAATTGTCTTTGCTTTTAAAAGAGTATGTTAAAATTATACTGTATATAAATAAGTTATCTGTTTAAAAAAAAAAGTGATAAATTTGTTGTGAGGACCAGTTGTCCTCGATATGCACTTTTAAGGACCGGTTGTCTGTCCACTGTGCAGTGCACCCTCTTTGGCCCTGAAACATTGTTTGTGGAAATGATTTTCTCTTCAAAAAATAAAACGTTGTGGTCTATTTAAGTCATTCAGTATTCAAAATACATGATGCTTGGTTGTTGCTTATATTTTACTGAAAAAATTGCTCTGCAATTGCTTCCATGTGAAACAAATGGGTAGTGGAATTGCATCCAATGAATCAGTCAGCCTTGATCTGCATAAACAAATACTCGAAAAATTAAAGCCTTCTCACGGGCAATCTGGGTCGACGCCCCCTATTCACGCGCCACGACGACAAATTGCGTGGGCACTCATTTGCAGGACTGAATCCCTCGGTCTGGTGTCTCTGTCTCGGAGATAAGTGACAAACTTTCCAGATGACTGGCGTGGGACAACCGGACCCCTGCCTTCCCCTCTGCCTCCACCACCTCTGCCCCCCCCCCCCATCGTCCCACTGATTGCCACACACTCCTCTCGCTGCTTTTTTGCCAGCTCCTTCTGCGGGGGCCGTCGTGTCTTTTGAGCTCTTACCCCGTAATGGTGATGGACACATGCCTTCTGTTTCACACACACGCAGAGACACAGTGCAAGCACGGCTCTGTGGTAGCGTCGCCCACTGAGCCACCCCCCCTAACCCCCCAAGCTGTCCTGCCAGCTTTGTCTGCCCTCAGCTGTTCCGGCCTGGTGCCTATATTGTACCGGCGGGCTCATTACCGCGAGCACTGTGGCCCGAAGCCGCCTCGCTAATAGGCCCACAGTGGGGAGGAAGACTTCCGCTTGTGTGGCTTATGTGCTGCAACTGTAACTTTGTCTTTTCACTCTTTTGGAAGAAGGACTCTTCTAAAAAGTCAGATTCTCCATGGTTTTAGGCACGTGAAAGCCGCCTGGAATAGAGTTAAAAATATGCCGGATTGTTTACTTTTACCCAAGATCGAGTTGAAGATTGGATTAATGCACACGTACAAGGCCAGAAATGGAAAAGCTGGACAATGTCGTCAGCCCGATACAAAAAAAAAAAAAAGTCTACTTTTCCAAAGATGTATTCACACCTCGGCCGTCAGTGGGCACCAGGTGGGCCGGCCTCACCCAAGCATGGCTAGCTAGTTAGCACACTGTGGTAATGAGAGCGCAAAAAAAAAAAAAAAAAAGAGGGACGCAGACCCCGAGCATAAAAGCAGTCGATGCAGAAAATAAGAAGACGCCATTAGACAGACGTGCACTTGCAGGGTCGCTGCATTCGTCCTTTCAAATTGCTGAAAGAAATGGCTGTTATGAGGCTATCATCACCAAGGTAATGATCATAACAAGAAGAGTAATCCCCCCGGAGGACTTCAAATACATTCCCTGCAAATGGCGTCCAAAAATCGTTAATGCAAAGCCAAATGGCAGACCTTCTTTCCTTCTTGTTGTCTATGAGCATGGATTCTTTGGAGATTGGCCACGACAGACAAGTGTACATCTTTTTGCGTCGTCGTTTACAAATCGCCCGACTGTCAAATCCATTTTGGGGCCTTGCATTCTGGATGTATATTTTCACTGGGACAAACGCATTGTAAAATTGGTGTAGATTTTGGGGTATGCTACAGCCTGCAAAAAAAAAAAAAAAAAAGCCAACCAAAAAAAAATCCTATAAAATTGATTAAAAAATAACTAAATACATCCAACAATTGAAACAAGAGAAACATTTTTGAAAATAAACGAGGACTACTTGATCTACCACTCGACAACAATCATAATAATCTTAAATAACACCATTTATAAAACTATTTTTGAAAATATGGTGGATATCCAAATAATATTGTGTGAGACAATGGATAAAAAACTAAATATTTTATATAATTGCAAAAATATATATTTTAAAAAAATCAGCAAATATTGTAATCCACAGGTGCTGAACCGCGAGTGTGCGGGTGCCGACTGTAATCATTTCATCAAACACACAACAGGAAGCTCACCTTTGCCATGCTTTAATTAAAAATAATTCTTTAGAAACTCCCTATTTACAGTCCATGTGCAATAATATTAATAACCGCATATATGAATTAAAAAATAGTCGCAATTCTTACCAACATGGGAACAAACTAAACACGTGTATGGAGGCCTGTTTTTGCTTTTTGTCGTCAAATCAGCGTCCACTCGCTTGCTCTGTAGGTAAGTCATCATTTACATTATGTACATCATGTAGAAAAAAGATTTTTTTTCACCCCCCCAACTCATTTGCAAGTAGACAAATCAAGAATGAAACGATTCTCTGTTGTAAAAAGAAATCATTGTAAACCACCCCCCAAAAAAGGAAAACAATCAAGCATAGTTTGTTAAAAAGATGTTGCATATCCTTTGTCAGGTGTGCGAGAAAACAAGTCTTTGGCCGAAAAACTGCGATTGGTACTGAAAAAGATGTGACACGTAAGGCTGCAGATGTGTAAACGTGTTCGAGTCCGAGTCACCCTGGGTCGCTTGGATCGGCAATGTCAAATAAATAATTGACTTGTCCCCCCCCCATCCCGCGCACCCCCCCCCAACCCCCCCGAAAAAAAAATAGGTTGCTGGTTCATCTGCAGAGTTGTCAGAAAGTCCATCCAGGTTCGAATCTGGCTCGTGAAGGTCCGTCCGGTCGGGGACTAGAGGTGGTCGTAGGCAGCTGCTGAGGGAGGGGCGCTGCGGGAGGCTGTGCTGTAATAGTAAGGTGAACCTGAGGGGGGCGCACACATACAAAAACAAAACTCACCATTAATTTTTTTTTCCCCCATGTCCTCAGCATTTTTTACCATGACACTTCCATCTTATGACCAAAAGTGTCATCTTTATGGATGTAGTCTTCATGTATTACGTTTCTTTGGTTTCATCTACTTTGTCCTCATGCTAAATTCTTAACGGGATTTTACCGTTGTCCTGAAAGAGTTTGATTTTTAATGACGACTGCCATAAAAATGATATATTCCATCCGACCGCCTGAAAGTGCTTTGAACTAACTGCATTGTTCCTGCGCACGGAGCATGCAGCAGGCACGATGATGTCATGCTGCTAGAAACCAGAGTTCAGAGATCAATGGCAGTGACATTGGTTACACCCTGGACTGGTCGCCGGTTAATCACGGGCCAATGTAGACAAACAGGAATTGACACTCTCATTTCCACCGATTTATAGTGTTCATTGAACTGAAGGCTGAACGCTACTGAACTGCTGCCTTGATCACCAGAGGGGCAGTGTAAGACAGAAATAAATGCACTCCGCACGGAGGCTCAGCTTCTCTCTCGGCGTCTCGGTCCGGCAATCATATTAGTTTTGCTTCACAGAGGATGAAAAATATTTGCCAGTATTGTTGTATTTCCTGTCTACATGGGTTGCTGCACTGTTTGTGTTCAGATATCGCTGTTTAAAGGCTACTAATACCACGTTCAGGAGGAGCTAATTATTAGCTTTGTGCCAATGGCGTTTCGCATTATATGCTAGCATGAAGCATGTGGAGTCTATGTTGGTTGCTTTCGATGCATGCAGTGTCAATTTGTGGGGGGGGGGGGAATCACAAAGTTGATCTAAGTATGTTTCAACTCAAAATACTTCATAAATATATGAAGCAGGCATTTTGGTTGGTTTGATCTTCCTGAAAGTGATTAACTGAAGCTAATTGAATTAAAAAAAATAAAATAAATCCATCGGTCAGAAGTCCAATCAGTCACAATTCCCTGGCCAGTTACGCTCACCCAGTATGCTGGAGTTGGTGAACCTCCAGGCTTCGCTGTAGGAGGCGTAGGGCGAGTGGCTGTAGGACTGAGCGGGGTAGTCGGCACCTTTTGGGGTTAAAAAAAAAAAAACAACACATTGTAGGTTACACGATCCCTCTTTTTAAAAAAAAAAAAACGACAAGATCATCCATATCTCTGAAATGTTTATGCGCCGCTTAGCTCATCATTCACCAGCAGTTTAGCTGAGCTTGTAAACCATTAATCTACAATGCAGGCGCGGGCCCAAATCTTTCGAACCCAGTGGTGCATGCCCATTGCCCTCCAGCCTCGTCTTCTTGCACTTCCTGCTTTAGCCTCCCTCTTTCCTCTCCTTAGCGCTCCCTTTTTAAAATTTATTTATTTTTTAAACATTCCAAAATCTAATTGGTAATTATGTTGACTGGAATGAAGCCTCATGAAGCCCCACCTCTAGTCCAAACCCCACAACCATCACCACCACCACCACTACCGTCCCCCCCTCCGCAAGGTAATTGTGTATCAACGCTCCCTCACTGCGAGCCCACCAGAAAAATAATAAATCAGACCCTCTCATTTCGCGCTTCGAAGGGCAGACTTCAAAAAAAAAAAAAACACCACACACATACACATAGTGGCATCCTAACAGACACACACACACACACACACGCGCACGCACACACAACAAAGACCACCCTCCTGGGCCCCCTGGTTCCCATGGCAATGTGTGGTCAGAGGTGTTTGGCTGTGTGGGGGTAGTGGGCAGCAGGGTGGAACCCCCAAGCCTGTTCCTTGTACCCCCTGGGCCCGTATACACACACACACACACACACACACACACACACACACACACACACACACACACACTGTTCAAGTCAACTCATTAAGTCCAGTCAAGCCTCCGTCGCAAACCGCTGCTTTTTCGTCAACCCCTCCTCCCACCACCCGGTGATGGTCTCTCCTCTTATGGGTGTTTTTGTGTGTTTGAGTGTGTGTGCGCATGCACAGTACAACAAAATGCGACTCGTACCTGCGACCACGCCGGCGATAGCCGATGAGGAGTAGCCCGACTGAGCCGGCGACGGGATGGGAGGCGGGTAACCCGGCAGGGTGGAGCTCACCATGTCTCGCCCTGAAAAACAAACATAAAGTGAAATTATTATTGATATCTGAGTCAGATATGGTTACTGGGTTATTTGGTTGGTCGTCCTCTCACGAGAGACAACATTAATTAATAACATTAATTTTTCGTAATTAGGTGCACCGAAATTAAGGCCACGATAAACAATAAAGGCTTAATTTTGAGAAATATTTGGAAATTTACCCGAGCAGTTGATCAGCAAGGTTATTTTAGTTCAGAAAAATAATGATACAACTAAAATTGAAACAAATAATTTTCGTTCATGAAATAATTTTTTAATGGTTTTGGAAAAGAAAATTAACAAACTACATCTTTAATAAAACGAGCTAAAACTAAATATATTTGTCACAGAGTCTTGTCTTTGTTTTCATCTTTGTCAATGCATTTCCTACATGAGCTTCTGGCTTTCATTTTAAATCGAACTTAAAGTATGTATTTCGGTCTTGCTGTACATCCATACAAAAGACGGAACGTTAAACAGTTTGAGAAATGTACATACTCCATACATTGAAAAAAAACTCATTCTAAAATGAGTAAAAACTCAACAAAGCATTACAAAATGTCAACTCATTAAAACTAACAAACCTGGTCTCATTTTTTTTTTTAAACGAAATGAATTGACAAAAGTCAAAACGAAATGCAAAGTAACTGCAATGAAAAATGCCCAAATATTTTAAATGCCAAATTATTATTAACCGATGTCGTCAAATATTGTGTTGGTTGAGTCTGCTCTGTGCAACGTCTCCTGAAGCAGCATGTGGCTCATTGCCCAAATTTAAGCAACCGTGCACAGTTGTATGTTTGTTGCCACAAGGCCGCTTCCACTAACTGTAAGCGTGATAGGAGCTGCCACCTTATCCTCATGTTAATGTGCCACGTCAGCGAAAGATTTGGTGTACTGCACTCCACTTTCTCAGGAAGCAAACTCCAAAAATAACCTTTTCATGTCTGAGCTTCAGTCCAAAAGCAAATGCTCATGAGATGAATGGATAACCAGGGGGACGTTGCCGGTACCTGAGATGATTGACTGGCTGCCAAACTGGCCATACACAGGTGCATGATGGGAGAATGAGTTGAAGGAATTGGGGAAATGGTTGCTAGCTCCGCCACTGCCGCCGCCGCTGCAGCTATTCAAAGAGACGGGTTTCTGCAGCTCCACAAATGCCATGTTGGACGGCGCCATGTTTGGCGAGGCGGGGCTCGTGCTGGTGACCTCCGGGGACATTTCCTGCTTCAGGCAAAGCGGCAGGGACTGGAGGGGCTCTGGACGAGGGTGCGGCGAGGCGGCAAAATGGAGTACATGAAACAATGGGGAAACTAAAAGCAATGGAAAACCAAAACGTGGAGCGACGGTGGCTAAAACTGGTTTTGGCGGAGGTGGAGAGGGGCGAACTCACCGGGCACCATGGCGTAGCCCTGATGCGCCGTCAGGTTGCGTCCGATGGCGGCGCTGGATGACGACAGGCTGCCCTTGGTCTCATCCAAGCTGCCGCTGATGAGCGACAGCGGGTACAAAGTCTGAGGGCCAAGGATTAGCTATTAGCCGTTTTCCCAGACACAAAAAGAAAAAAAAAAAACAAACTAGACAAGCTGATCTCTTGAAATTCCGAACACGTCACGTGATGCTCCTGTCCTCACCTGCTCCGTCTTGCTACCGGAGGCGGAGAAGGAGTCCGGAGGGTAGTGGGGACGCTCAAAGCCACAGTCCACGTGCTGCGAGAAGTGGTCCACCCGCATGCTTTTCCTGGGTATGCCACCGCCGCCGCTGCCCTGAGAGTCCACGCTGTGCCGACAGCTGTCCTGGTCGCCTGAAGACCGAAGAAAGAAGAAGACAACTATTTTGACCAAAAAATGTGGACAGGACAGGAAGTTAACGTCATAAGGATTCATGTGGGGGAGAAGCTAAAAGACATCTCAGACTAGTTTGTTTGATAAAAATAAGATGTCTTTTCGGTTTGCTTTGATTTGTTCCTCAACAAAAATGTTTCTTCATTCGTACCGTTAGTTGTTTCCAAAGTAGCCTTATCAGTTATATCAAGAGGCTGACGATAACCGTGTTCAAGAGAGAAGCTAGCAAGACTTTCTTTCGGCGAAGTCGCCACTTCAAAGTGGACACGTTGGGAACCAAACCTCGGCTTTGTGACGACTCGTTCTCACATGAATGGATAAAATGTTTGCTTCCGTTATCTTTTGAGTGACTCAGCAAAACATCATGGCTAGCCTGCTAGCTAACGTCAGCTACCGTTTGGACCCCTCAACGAGTAACAGAAAAGTCCAGCTCAAACGTTCTTGTTCATTGACGCCTCGATAGGTATGAATGCTTGTTGTTCTTTTAGCCAGCGTTGGGTTAACCTCTTCACCCAATTTGTGCTTTTTAAAATAGCAGTTTGAAGAGTGATATTTGCCCTAGCGATTCGCTGGCAGAGGTTTACGCTCAACTGAGTGTTCTTACTGTCATCGTGGCTCCTCTTGCCTTCGCTGCTAGCTTGGGGGATTCCCAAGAGGCCGCTAATGGAGTAGGTGGAGCCCAAAGAGTCCGAGTGCGGAGACTCAGGTGGGGTGACAGCCGAACTGGGAACTTGGAGAAGGCAAACGTGGGCGTGTAACAGATTTAGAAAGAAAGAAAAAAAACATGAATGGAAGGAAGGAGTCTTTGAGACTTACTCAGGGTTTGTCCAGGGCTTAGGCCTTTCCCATCCAGGGGGAGATTAAATGGCTGCTGGACTTTGGTTCGAATGATCCTGAAAGAGAAGAACCGTCATTTTGTGGCCCGAGAAAGCTTGCCTCACTTTTTTCTTCTGTTCAAATGTATTCATAAAAACGCTAATAACCAAATGCAGGGACAGTTTTGTCATCTCTTGGGGTTATACGAGGTAGAAACATCTGAGGCAAGACGAAAGAAATATCAACCATTAAAGCAGCTGGACGGTTGTTTGGAGTTTTTAGCTCCTCCCTGGTAAACAACTGCTTGGAGACATGTCGCGTCAACGAACATCCTTGACACCAATTACTGCCCCACTGTACTATTCGGACAAGGATTCGGTAGCATCGGAAAAAAAAATGTCAATTTGAATTTGTCGATCGTGACGGTCACGAGGATGGTGGTGACGCGGTCGCTGACCTGTTAATGGAGCTGACGCTGGGCACGGTGTCGCCGTCGCACACCGCCTCGGCGAGCAGCCTGTCCCTGATCTCCCAGGCGAACATGGTGGGGTTCTGCCGCTTGTACTCTGCGATCTTGTCCACCACCTTCGGTGTGGCCACTTTGGGCTTGGAGCCGCCGATCACGCCGGGTTTGATGCTTCCCGTCTCGTAATACCTGTGGAGGGGATAACCCCGTTTTTTGTATGACTTTTCACATATCAGTGTGTCTCTGTTCACGTCTGTGTGCGCGTGTTATTTTTACATATTACTGACCAATCTAAAGTGTTGAAAATAGCTTGTGCTATTTGACGATGTCATGTAAATTGTTGAACAAGCATGGCGTTTTTTTTTTTATTAAAGTTCCATTTTGTCCTCACTAGTAAGATAATGGAGCACGCTATATCTTTTTTTTTTCTTAAGAAAATAATCCATTAACTGCCATAAACATCTCATGTTGCTGGCCACCTCTGCTAAAATCGGCTACGTCCTTTAAACAGATTATGCACTGTGGTAAGCATTTCAAGCACTGAAAAAAAAACCCCACATCTTGTATTTTTTGGGTGGCTAAAACAGTCATTTAAATTGGAACGACTTGGAAATTTTAATTATTAAGATTTACGTGACAATTTTAGCTAGCACCTCACGCAAGCAAGTTGTTTGCTCTTAGCTGAGTTGATTTTACTTAGTTGGGTTCTGTAAAATCGGATTTCTTTGTTAAAAAAAATGCAGGAACGCCAATTTTCTCATTAGTCGAACCTAATATTTTCTTGAGGTGCCCAACTTAAAATTTCAGCACTTTGTTGCGTTGAAACATTTTTTTTTTTTTTTTTTAACCGTGCTATAGTAACATGCAGTTGTCCCATTGGTGTGAGAATGTCATAGTCAGAAATTGGTTCTGTTTGGACCCGCTAGTTGTTCTACCAAAAGCGTCCCAGTTGTAAACTGACCGTCCCAGGATCTTGCTGACGCAGCCGTGGCTCACTCGAAGCTGGCGGGAGATGTCGCACGGCCGGACCCCCTGGTGGGCCATGTCCACGATGCGCTGCCGGATCACCTCCGGAAGTGGACGGCCATTAACAAACATTCCGCCTAGTTGGTTAAGACCCCCATGACCTGGGGGAGGAGGGGGGATGAACACTTATAAATGTCAGGGAACTAAACACGACAATTGTTTTCAGCAATAGTTTGCGATTTTTTTATTTTATTTTATTTTACTTTTTTAACCAAGTAGCTCCCAAAAAATACGTGCACAATGAAAAGGACGTCTCTCTACTCTCTCCATTTGATCATTTTCTTGTGGACAATTCAATTATAGTTTTCTAAATTAAAATAATTTGTCAAAAATGTGCTAATTACATTCTTTTCATAATTATCTATCTATCTACACTCTTGTCTTGTTTTCATACGAACGGCTATTTCAATACAATCATTAATTATAAGAAACGGGGCAACGCGTGCGCGCGACCTGGGAAGCATTGCGGAGCGCGCGCCTTCACGCACGCACGCGCACGCACGGGAGGTCACCTGCGTGCACACTATCGCTTTTCATTTAACCCATTCAGTCGCATCTCTTTCTCGCAGCCTTTTGCCAGCTTTCATTTCCACATCAAACGCACACTTTGGAGTGCGGGAGGGGGCGGGGGGTGTCTTTCGGGGGAGTAAAGTGGGG